CTGGTTTGTGATTCATTTGTGCTACATTTCCGTTCTATCTACTCAGTCTTATCGAGTCGGACCATTGCTTATGGGGAATCGATGAGGTCAACGTGGAGGAGAGATGAGGCCGCGCTGAACGACTAACTCATAACAGGTCCCATCGCAATGTTCTGTGTGTAGTTACGTCCTAACCATTATTTGTTCTATCTAGAAAAACCATCCTTACATGCGCCATTTCTTCAGCTCAAGTTCGAAATGTTTCTGAAGCTTCTTATTGCGCGTAGAGAGTCACAGCTCACAGCTTAGTCATTAGATCAAACCCTCGTAGTCGAACGTTCTATCCACGATGGGCCTTCACGTCGCGATGCGAGGTGATGAAATGCAGAAATGCGGAAAATGCAGAAATGGCGAGTTGCTGAAAAATTGGAAATTGTAGTGCTTCTCGTCATTTCTGCACTTTCCGCACTTCTGCATTTTCCGCATTTCTGCATTTCTTCAAATTGATGTATATTACGCATTCCATCATTTCCTCGGATTCCGCATTGCTTCATGGCCTTAGGGTTTGTAGGGTGGGGTGGGGGGATCAGCACATTCGCTACTTCACATCCTGGTATTCATTGAGTCACAAAAGTTGACAGGTATTCCTCCAGACTTTGAGTGGAATCACTTTATGCCTTTACAACCTAGAGCCGCCATATAGCTCTAGTGCCTAGCTCGAGCTTGAAAAGAAAAACAGACTGTAAGAAAAAAAAGGTTGTACTGAACCCCCCAAAAAGGGGAGGGGGGTCATACTGGTTCGACCGAAATCCCCAACTAATGCTGTGCCCTGCTGGCACTCCCCTTAGCGGTGAGGATTCGCAGAATAAACTATTGCGTACGGTATCAACCATTTGGTATACTCCTTACGGTTATCCCTCACTAACTTCATCTGCCAAACCATTGCTCAGTTTCACCTTGCTCCCCATGTTGTGGGGTTTTTCGGATGCGTTTCGAGGGTTGTTGTTCTCGGCACCGTTCACTTCGGCAAACGCCCCGCCCATCAGGGGTGTGCTTCATGAATTTAGCTCGCCAACGGATTGGACAATGCCTATCGTTTGCCACATCTCCCACCCTCCGAGCTCTTTTGGAACCGTACTACTAATTTTTGAAACTTTTGTAGCAAGCACCCCCATCTATAGAACGCCCCGCCCAGAATGGCTTTGTCTCACTCATTTCGTCCGCCAACTGATTGCTTATCGTTTGCCACTTTTTCCACACTCGGGGCTCTTTTGGAACAGAACTGCTAATTTTTGGAAGTCTCATAGCAAGCACCGCCCATCTATAGAACGCCCCGCCCAGAAAGGGTTTGTCTCACTCATTTCGTCTGCCAACTGGTTGCTTATCGCTTGCCACTTTTTCCACACTCGGGGCTCTTTTGCAACCGAACTACGAATTTTGATATGTAGCCCACAACTGTGTGCACGCCCCGCCCACAGTGGGCGGGGCTTGGCTCAGTTCATGTGTGTTCCGTACATCTTGGCCCATGCTCTACCCAACCCATCCTTGACCCGCCCCTCCAACTGGCTCTTCAAGTGATTCCGAATTTCCGGACGGACAGACAAACAGACGGACAGACAGACAGACAACAGACAGACAGACAGACGTTGTCGTTTATATATAGTAGGATATTGGGACTACACAGTGGGGCCAACTTGCACGGGCCAACTGTGTACAAGATAGGGTTTTATCCTGCTTAAAATGGTACCAGTTATCGTATCTAGAGAAACGGCCGCTCGGTTAGCCTGAACGAGAGCAAATCCAAGAGTAGATTCTCAGACTGTGCGCTTCTAAGTATGTAGGCCTAACTGCCGTTCACCACCTCCACCCGAGGAACGTCAGGAAGTCGTAGCATTTGTGCGTCCATACCTTCCAACCGCCCTGTACATTTGACACTGCACGGCCACGTACGTGAAGGTGCAATTATTTGAGAAATCCCTTACACCTGCGAAGTACTACATGTTTAAAGTTATGTATTGATCAGAAATTCCATTGCTTCGCTAAAGGCACAGGCAAGGCGTTTTCATGATCATAATTTCAGGTCGAAATGGGTACAATCGCCATGCCCCGTACCATACAATCAAATCGAAGCCGGTCAAGCACTTCTGCACATTATGCTTGCAGCAATCACCTTAATCCTCAGTGTCATAGTAATTCTGGATAGCAAGCGTGAAAAGGATCGAGTGAAGCCTCCTCAGCCAGCACAATACGCTCAGATCAAGAGAAATCAACTACCGCCCCCCCTGTCCATCAGTGAACACGGGTATGAATTTATTTCCATTTGACCATTCCCCATCAATAGCCGAATCGTTGTCTAGAAGTGGTTGCGTGAATTCGTCTTACGATGATATGACGGTGATAACAGCATCACTGCCTGAGCAACGAGTTCCGCCTTTCTCCTACGAGCGACATAATCGCAATAAACGAGCCAGAATACGGCCTAATTCAATGGTATGTTCTAAAAAGTTATTGAACTTGACCGGCATCAATAGTCTGAAGAGGTAAGGAAGCACTTGAAAGGCTCTTTGTGCAAAATTAAATGTAAGGATGGTATCACTGTACTTTAGACTGGTTCATCTACCAAGAACCTCCTTCCTCCTTTGAGCGCGCGCAAAGATATTCCTCTCTGTTACGGTAATCCTAGTTTGCATAAGGAGCCCTTCAAATGCTTACCAAGTTATTAGCGCCCTCTGAAGTTAGATGGCTGTGGGCAGGCGGCTGCTGCCATTTTGTGGAAGCGCTGCGGTAGGGCATTTGACAACACCTCATTCAGCCCTTCCACCAATGACTTCGGCAGCAACCGCTGGCCACACCCCATTCAGCCCTTCCTCCAAAGACGTTGGCAGTAACCCCACCCAGCCATCGTGCCCACGGCCTTTACTCTAGCAACAGTGAATGTGCTTATTCATGGGGAGATTGCCAGATATTCAATGATTCATGGTTTTCCAGCCACAACCACATTTCGATCAGTACTCCGGCATGACCCCTTCAATCAGAGATGATTTTTCCTCGAAATTGCAATCGAGAAGGTCGTTCTCTACTGCAAATGGACGTTTCCGAAAGTCATGCGAACTGCCGAGTACAGTCGGAATTCACGGGGTATTCCAATTAAGAATCATTCGAGTGACGTCCTGCACTGTCAGATTTTTTTTGGCTCGACCATAGAAATTCGAGAAAATTCCAAGGTGAGGTGACCATTCCTGAAATAGAACAGTTGCAGGATTTGAAGAAAAGTGACGAGCCGAACGAGCAGGAGTTTGGCAAGCCGCCAGGTACACTAACATCACTGATCAGTTTCGATCCGAAGAGCCGAACGTTGTTACGAGTACGTGAGCACAGAGAGTCGGACGAGGACGAAGCCGAAGGTTATAGCAGAATAGAAAAAGTAAGCAACACTTGAACCAGAAGCCCTCTTTTTTTCAAAAGTCAAGCAGTCCAATATAAAGCCCCACTATTTCAAGGTGGTGGTTCTTAATATCTCATCTATCCGTCGCGCTACAGGTGCCAACGCTTTGGCGCCTGCGTGCCTGGAAGAAAAAAAAGTGGGGGGGGGGGATCCATAGCTCCGCTCAGGGGATCGTTAAGCAGTTTTGCAGGTAGATTTGAGTTCATCGTCGCGTACAACGATGCATTTCATTGGAAATGGCTGGGCTGACCTGTTGGTCTTTCCTGGTCAGAAGAGACAGTTCGCTATCAGTGCGGACAAGGGCCAAAAATTTGCTATAGAAAACTCGGTCTAAGATTTTAGTATTGCATCTGCGGGAAGACTCATCACTTGACTGATTGGGTGGAATCAATAAGTGCAGTGCGGTTTTTGATGTACTTGAACATCTCGATCCCGTGTCGTTATAGAGACGAAACAACACGGTGGCGAGAAGTGCTCAGGTCTCGAGGGCGAGTGTCACTGACGATGTTAACGACATATCGGATCATAAGTACAAACAAGCGATTATTAGACTTTCAAGAGTCTACCAACATGAAAAAAGGTACATAAATGCCCGCCCTTTTCAAAGACAGGGCCCGCCATTTCCCACGTGCGGTCCGCAGCTGCTACCTCACTGCTTGTGCTCTCCATCCTTCCCATGTCGTCCCACCATCGCTGTATAGCCGTTGGATCTTTATCATTTATGTACTGGCTCGCCCTCTCATCATCTGTTTCTCTTGTTCACGTGCCGCCTGTCTCTCTTCGCCACAAAATTTTTGTTTCCTATGAAGGGTTTTTGATGGTTCCCTCTGTTTTTTCTTCTTCACTGCTGAGTTATGCAGCATATTGACAATCATCTTTGTACCCCACAACCATAAAAGGTAATCGCGGGCTTGTACATTAATCGATTTCCATTAGTAAGAGTGGAGACTGGCCTGGACAATGACAAGAATTCCTGCCCTGGACGGGCAGCAGGAAAGTCAGCTTACGAGGGTCGGTTAGTCTCGAATTGCCGTGAACGCGGTGAAGAGCCGTACCGCATTCGTACCAGACCCAATCGAATGGATTCGGCCGTTGTGTGTTGTGTATCAACTACCTAGGAAGTACTGTACTAGTCTTCGCGTGATGGTGGGACTCGGGACTATTGATATGCACCCTCGCACTACCAATATCTCTGACTGGGACTGAAGGTTCAACCTAACACACAGTTTCTTAGTGCCTCGTGAACCGCGGAGTAACAGCGAATGAAAACCGTTTCCAGGACTGCTCCCAAGACACAGGACTGTACGAGCGTATTCGCAGCAGAGGATCCAGAGACAACATAAATGCATGTCCAGATGTCCGAAACTTGCTCGAGACAAGGCTAAGGGATCCGAGTCACGTCAGTTTGTATTTTTTTAGTTTTTTTTTGTAATCCTACCTATATATAGATCGGCCTAAAAGTTTGTCTGTTGGTGTTTGTGTTGTGTCGTGTCGTGTGCTGTGTGTGTGTGTGTGTGTCGTGTCGTGCCTGTGTGTACGTGTGTGTGTGTGTGTGTGTGTGTGTGTGTTTTTTGACCGAAATTCATAACTTACTTCAAAGAGTGATAGAGCGCTCAAACTAGATAAGTCATGTAGGGGGTTGTGCAGGAAGACTATTGGTAGGTGGCAAGAACTGATAAGAATAGATAAGATACCGCGAGGAGCCTTATAAGGGGATGATCACCAAATTCATAGCGCGGGTCACAGCAACGATGAGACCTTGGTTCCAGTAAGTAAGATAGGGGCCAGGATGGGAACATTATTGGTGGGTGGCAGGACTTGATAATAGCTGATAAGATACCATAAGGAGCCTCAGAAAGAGTGGGTTACCTAATTCGTAACACCGGCCAGAGCAACGACCGGACGTTGGATACAAGTAGTAAGATAGGGGGCAGGATGGGAACATTATTGGCGGGTGGCAGGAATTGATAACAGCTGATAAGATATTATAAGGAGCCTTAGAAGGATAGGGACACCTAACTCACAACGTCGACCAGCACAACGGGAAGTCGGTTCCACGAGGCACGATAGTGTGCAGGATGGGACTATTATTGGTTTGTGGCAGGATATGATAAGAGCTGATAAGACACCCCAAAAATTCACAGCAGAGTTGTTGCAACACTGTGGAACTGCTCCAGCAAGTAGTTCAGGGGTGCTCAGGGAATATTAAAGGTGAGAGATAATTTCTGTCAGTGTCCGACAACGGCTTTTGGGACTCCGTGTATGCTCACATCATCGTGGCCAAATTTCTGTTTCTGGCAATATCCCTCAGTCAGCGGTCGGAATTGCTCCCACCGCTAAATGCTGTAGTTTCACCGGAAAGGGAATTGTTGCCCAGTGAGGAATGATAAGAGCCACTATGATTTCGACTTTTTTTTCATCGAAATTTTTCCCACCGCTATGCTGTCCTATCTCCAACGAATGGTGCTGTTAGAAATATGATAGGCACCAGACACTGGCAAATGTTCATTAAAATGGAGAAACATGATGAAATGGACCGTCTTAAAAACATGGGAATTAGGCTAAGTGTTAGTTCACAGGACAGAAATCCTGTCAATTATCATAGTACCATGGGTTTAACCATGCGCGCAGTAGTGCGCGTCAGCCAGGCTGGTATATAGAATAAGCACGAAATTAAACGAGTGGATGTTCGAGGTACTCTTGTTTTCACACTTGAACCCCAACCTTCCCACTTGGTAATACCGTTATATATGGTTGCAATTAAAGGTTGTATGGTGGTTAATATCGTCACAATAATTTGGGACGGCGTCAGCAGGGGGAGGTGAGCGGGTCCGCCCCCCCCCCCCCTTCCCGGATGCCCTTTCCATGAATAGTGTTAGTTAGGCCCGCATTCATACTTGACAATTTTGAAGAAATGCAAAACTGCGGACAAAACAAAGTGTATATATCGATTTTAAAAAACCACGGGATTGGGAGAAATGCAAAAGTGCAGAATTTGCAGAAATGCCGAAATGATGAACAACGGCTTGATGAGGATTGATCGCTTGGCCCACCAGCGGGAGAAATGCAGAAATACAGAGATTTCGACCATTGCAGGCTCGACATTTCTGCATTTCCCCAATTGCGGTGTTTCGAATCGATAGATATACTTTCCTTCTTCTGCAGGTACTGTATTTCCCCCAGTTGCGCAGGTCTGCAAATTCCGCATCTGCTCATTCAGCGCTTCTGCATTTCTGCATCCTGTATGAACGCAGGGCTTACTCACAATTCAGAAGAAAAATAACCAGTAGTGCAAACGTAGCGGTCCTTTTTTTTATATGCCGATTCTGCTGGACAACGCTCAGACTGCTCACCGCTGTACTTAACCTGAGTTCAACATTCCATAGAACTTTTCTGTTCGAAACATTAACGAACTTCTATGAGTAGTATGAGCTGCTGGAAAGCAACATAGCAGCCTGGTTTGGGGGAAGGGGGTGAAAAATGTTAGGGAGGGGGCATTTCCTACTTCCGCGTTCCACGGGTATGTGACAGAAGGAATCGTTATTCCGCGCGCTGGCTGGGCGTACGCGGTGCGACCGGTCTAGTCTGGCGAGGGGACGATGGTTCCAAGTAGTAGATGCGACAAAATGCAATCGAGGACCGAAAGCAGTGAGATGACTTGCCTACGACGACGGGGTCTACATGAAGTTCGGATTGCTCCATTCGATCAGGTATGAAGACGAGTTTGAAAACGCCGGCGGCCATCGCCAGCGCGAGGGTGGCGTCGGAATTACGATTCTCTTTACCGTTTCCCCCTTGTTCTGGTTTACAAGTCTCACTATGATGGAACCTGTAAACTCCTTTGAAGCTGGAGCAAGCTCGTAGGTCCACCGCGGTGAAACCTGTCAGCACTTGTGAGCTCATGAAATAGCTCTCGAGATGGGTCGGCACGTCGATGGAGAGTAACGTGCGAAATACTACCCCCCCCCTCCCCTCCCCTCCGTCGCCGAACTGCCCCGTTTGCCAGAATTGTCCCGCAAATCATAGTTACAATAGATCACGAATGATTTCATTAAATTTATTGTTACCATTACTCCATTTGAGGGTCGACTCCTTCTTCCCTTCCTCATCAATTTTCATCGACTCACACTCCCCACTTTCGTCTCGAATTTAGCAAGTTATGACCAAAACCAGTCGGCTTGCCGGCTGACGCCGGCGTGCCTTTTTCTGTGATATGGCCCGGCTTAGCCGGGAGAGCGCCGCTTCGCTGCGCGTACTTTTTTACGCTTGGGTACAACTGTTATCCGGCTTTTCCCCTCACCTATACACATTGTCAACACTCCTTGACCAATAACACCAGACCTGCTATATTCAACACTATTATCGTCTATGAAATAGTGGTAAGCAGTGTTGATCAAGTGCGCAGATGAGAGAAAAGCCGGGTATCAGTTGAACATTCAAACACAGGAAGCAGGTAGGCACAACGGAGCCAAGCAAAACCTCAGCTCTATACTACGGCAAAGCTTGGCCATATTAGAGAATCGCGCCGGGGACAGCCAGCGAACCGACAGGAATCAAATGTACCTGTGACGACAGGTGTTTAAGAGTATGACGGCCTATGCGCCAAAACGCAGTGAAATAGCTACCGCGTGCTTGAGGACACGATCCATCCACTGTGGGCTCAACACAACACATATGTACTCAACTCTCGCTACATGTTTCTCTTCACCAACACTTTTTCCTGATCTCCAAGCTCATTCAGATCCGAACCATGAAATCTTGCAGCAACCACTGCCCATCTCAAAAGCAGCCCGCCCATTTTTTGGATGTCTCCTCCATTTCGTCCGATAACCCCTTGTAGGCCTCAAACCACTTGTCTCCAGTGCCCATGCTGCTCTGCGATTAATTCGTGAATTTTTTCACCTTCGCCCACCCACACCGACACAGAATGGGCGCGCAAATCTCGCTTCTATAGCAGAGCTCCTGCCATCGTCGCTCGCCCTTTGCCGGTCTGGAGTCGTTTGTGGAACCATTTTACAGATTTCTGCATTTGGCTCCGCCATACGCTCCGCCCCTAATAGATGGCCTTGCACTCTAAAACCGGTGACTTCTCGATAACCCCAGTCCACTTTGTACCCAGTGCCTGAAGTGCTCTGGAACCATTCCGCGAATTCTTAGGTCTGGCTTCGCCCGGCTCGCTGCACCCTCCGCCTATAACGGATGTGTCACGAATCAACAGATGATCTCTCCTGACCACTATCACTTTTAAGCAGTGTCTGGAGTGCTCTAGGACCGCCTCCAGCCTTTGTCTGTCTCCGCCCACATCGAGACAGGTTCCGCCCACAACATGTGCCCTGCATTCCTCACCGTCGACTCTTTGCTAACCTTAGTCCACTTTTCCCACCTTTGGAGTACTCCGGGACCGTTTCACAGACCTTTTTGTCCGGCTCCGCCCACCGCGGAGCAGGCTCCGCCAACGAGGTGTGTCCCACAGTCCTCCGTACGACCCTTTGCTGACCTCAATCCTCTTTTTTTTGCTTTCTGGGGTGCTCTGGAACTAAAAGATTTTTGAAATGGGCAGCTTATGGTTGAGAGCAAGCTCCGTCCACTGTGGGCGAATCTCAACACACTTCACGCATGCCAAACTCTTCTCAGGTGTTGCCGTCCTACATCGACCTTTTTGCGATCTCTAAACTCTTTCGGGAATCGAGTTAATGAATTTTATGGAAAGCCTATCTCAAGCACGGCCCGCTGTACGTTACGTTTGGGGTATGTCTCCTTTAATTAGTCTGACAACCACTTGCTAACCTTATTTCACCTTTTCACCATCTCTGGGCTGCTCTGGAAGCACAATGAGGTTTTTTCTGCGGCAACGCCAATTTTAGGCGCTGCCCCGCCCACACCCTGGGCGGGGCTTCGTATGGGTTATGTGTGCTCTTTACATCTTGTCCCATGCCCTACCCATCCCCACCCTGTCGCGACCTCTCCAAGTTGTTCTTCAGCCCGAATCTCCGGATAGACAAGCAAACAAACAAGCAAACAGACAAACAAGCAGACGAAGCAAATTATATAGTGGTCAAATGTGGTGGTAGATATTCGGCTTCCTACTTCAAATGCATGTTTCAGGACTCTCTGCCATCAATGATGGCTCCAGTGTTGACCACTGAAAATCCTACTCATAGCTCCACCAATGCGACTTCTTCGGACTTTGGCTTCCCTGGATCAAGATACTGTCCACCATCTTCATCTTCATCGCAGACGGATCGTCATCTATCCTCCGAGACGAGAGGAATCGAACCGCCAGAGATTAGATATATGGGAGACCAAGAGCGTCACTTGGCTACAACATCTTCGGACTACAAAAGCAATTTACGGGTAGAAAGTAAGGACAGCCGTACAGCTATCGTACATTACCACTCGATTAGCGAGTTTCGGCTCACGAATAGTAAGTCTCCCACACAGACAGTGCCAGTCATCACGGGTGCTGGATTGCTTGTTTGAATTGTAAATGGTCTGAAGCATTCTAAATTCCCTGAGCTCTTGAAGGCGCTCTCTACTAGCTGAGTGGGATGGGATACTTTCCGTTGAAAAAGGTAGAAGCTGTGCCGATCCCGCTTTGCGCTGACTTGGGCCGTCACCACCTTGGAAATGAAAGCGACTCGCGCTAAAGAGGGAAGAGGGGAGCGATGTAGGCGTCTCGTATCTTGCTTTCCTTTGTGCCTGCTGGGCATGTCGCTTACGTATCAGGTCCTTCATCCAGATGCCTTCTGCTTCTCGCCACGAGTTTGCGAAATGGTCAAAATCGACTGCAAAGGAAATGGCCTTGTTTGACGCCTTTTCGACTAAACCTTTTATTCCTCTCTCAGTGACAGGGCACCGTTAGCAACTATATTTTCTAGCCAGTTCGGCTAGGGGGACATTTTGCACTTTCGCTGCTTTTCATTGTCGGTTCGAGCCATCAAGTAGAGATTGGTGAAACCATGTGAAGCCGTGAAGTGATACCAGTCGAAGTAGAAACTCTTGTCAACTCTTGTAAAGCAAAAAGCACGACAGAGGGAAGCTTCGAAAGTGCAGAATGTTCCACCCTAGCCTAACTACACTCATTTCTTATTTGAACCACACTAGTGACATCCTACTATGGTGGAATAAACTTTCAGAACAAGTCTGCTATATAATGCCCCCAAAAGACAACCTTCTGTATTGAATTCAGTACCTCGGCTACAGGCACATTTGACGCTTTTTGTCGCTCTTAGCGGAAAATCTATTTTTCTAGATGTACTTAGTTTTGGTATACTGCAGCAACAGCCATCAAGTCGAAAAACTCAGAATACGCCGGAAACTTGTCACGTTCGCGTTAAGCTGTGCTTTGAACAGGAGTGTAGTCTATTCTGAGTTTTCTGAAGTTTTTTTATTTTCAATGAACTTTTCAGAATTTCATTTCCTTACCACAGTCAGATCCTTCGCGGAGCTGTTTCGAGCATCCAGGTGCATTTCATATGTACAGGTCCTAATATCATGAGTACGGATTGATCAGCCAGTTGCACACATTTTTCCCATGGCAGTCGAGCTGGTTCCGCAGAAGCTATTATTGGGATAGTTGCGTTCGAACAGTTCGTAACCCTCACTTTTCAAGAAAACACCCATGCGCTTGACTAAAAACGCTTACGGCACAATCGGATCATGACCTCTGGCCCAGTCGGTCAGTCACCTTTGTGTCTCTCCCTTTACAATGTACCGAAATTGATGAATAATAGTCTTTTTGTGTTTCGTCATGTCTACGGGTTTATTATGACATATTATTCTTTATGTATAAAGTGTATAAGATGATAATTGCTTTACAATGGATTAAAATTTCAATCACGGTGAAAATACGAAAAAACACGGTGCGTATGACAAAATGTACATAGCTCATGAATAATTATTGCCGAGAACATTCAGGAACCATTATGTTAGTATACGAATTTGTCTTAATGACTAGCAGTTGTTAGAGAAACACACCTAGGTGAGCCTAGTTTTGCTTTGGTCTATCGTATTCAAGCAACTTTCAGTTATAAATTCGGATGTATGGAAATAGAGTTGAGCAACAAAGAGGGGAAATTCACAATAAAAAGCTCCAGAGAGCTATAAAATTGTAACCAACGCAGATACGCTTTGGCAGAGAAACTCACAAGCCAGGGCACATACTAACCCCCCCCCCCTCCCCTCCCGATTCTCTTTTTCAGAACAGGTGGATCCCTATCACAATCTACCTACTATTTATCGAAATTTCCCATAACTCTCGTCGACTGATGTGGTGGGACCACATATCTTCACCGTGCGCGCCGAAATCTAGAGGCGTATGTAGCGTTTGTCCAAATGGAAGAAGCAACATTCGTAAAAATCCCTCGGCGCAGCAGCTCCCTCTCTCAGCGGCTAAGTACAATAAGTTTTTTAGAAGTTGTATAATGGCATACTTTCCAGTCAGGGAACATCATCCTTGGGCATTCCCCAACAGAATCGTATTTGGTCGCACAGGTTGGGACGTTCCGTGGAGAAGCTAAAGTCCCTTGACGTGTGATGCCTAAATACTTTTCGCTAAAAGTACGCTGTCCTAGCAGCGTTACCACCTAACATTATCGCACAGTTTACGCGCACTGTGACAAAGACGAGAATATAGAGCGTCAATGCGTTCTGAATACCAGCTAAATTCCTGAGATAGCCGGGGCACCTACCCAGTGGAAGTCTACCGGTAAGACTCATGTTGCGAGATAACATAGTATGATGAGCACAATGAAATCGATCAGGATTGCTTCAACTTCGCTCGTACTTCGCTGAGCACAAATGCCCTCACATTCGGGTCTACCACCTTCTTTTCAATCTCTTTAATTGTATCGTCCGCTCGCTCACCACATGAAAATAAATAGTCGGTAACTGGTGGAAAATGTGATATTAGCGATGGACTCAAACACACCGCACACTACCCTGTAAAGTCGATCTTTTCCATGCGGTGGGCAGGTCCCCACCTGAACGGGGAGCACTTCAAAGTGCGCGGCGAAGAAATGAGAAAGTTGTGAGAGCTTGATGCTTTTCTCAAATAGGGTGCGAGTAAGCGACTTTCAACTAGAAAATGTATGACTGCTAAAACTTAAGTAAAACCAGTGAAAGGTCAAGTATCGTGAAACATGAGCTCTTTATGCGATCACGTATCAGAGTTGTGATCATTATGAGCAATCCTAGACCGTTCTGGGAGGGGGCAGGGTGTGCTCTCGTTTGGATCCCTGAGCCAATTTGAACATGCATGTAACTTCAATACTGCAGAATGAACGGTATCCACCCTCCCACAAAAACTTCCATCTGTATCTGTTAATGACTCGGGAAACCAATCCAAAAAAAACCGTGGCGCCTCTTACAAGGTTCTATAGAAAATGTGCAAATCAACTTACTGTAGTAGTTAATGAGTTCATTCGCATAGACAATCCAAACGCAATTGGTGCAACCTTGACCGCAACACAATCCTTCCACTGGCTCGATCGGAGGATTTGATCCTTTCTGGAAAGAGTTCATCCTTCACGTTCATACATCTACCCGAGAGCCCAGTTGAAAACTCCGCCATTGAATTGGATGCGATGTTGCGCTCGCAGAACGTGCGAACACTTGGTGGGGCGCTGTAAGTAGAATCAATGGTTTATGAAAAGCTGTTCCGAAAGGGAATCTTGAATAGAGGTGATCCCGAAGAGAACATGACGGATGTGTGACCGCAGGCATGAACTGATGAAGGAATGGATAGCAAAAGTTTGGAGTAAACAACATAAAGAGACTTTCTGTAGATGTTTCCGGTTCTGTTAATATTTAAGAAAATGATGAGAATGAAGTTGATTGAAATCGATTTCAGCATAGGTTCACCTGGTACTGGAACGAAAAAAGGATAGAAGCAATGAAATTAAAATGAGACGTGAAAGTAAGCTGCCTTCACACTTGGGACACTTCGCTGGAATTAGAATAACGATGAAAAACAAGTCTTCTCTCGCACTCTTAACTCCTTTTTCAGGCCTCTATGGAACCAACTATCGCATAGATAACAAGTGATTTCAACTTGCAGCGTCCCACGAAGAGGTCGCGCACACGACGAAAATTTTCAGATAACACGGTGTTGTCCACAGCATCTATCCTTGGGACAATAAAGCAGAAAATGATACTGCTGTCATCAAAAAGCTGTCATCAAAAACTTTTTCAATCGTTAAACTGTTTGTGTTTCCGAGAATGGTAGATGTTATATATTTATAAGTCTGCACACTGCAATCGATCATATCGGGAGAACTGGTAGTATCCAAAAAAGAAGTTAAGACTAGCATTAGAGGTCGTCGGTATATACTCGGCTCTCATTCAGGACTGTCGAGGCGGGTCAGTGTCGGCTGGCGTTTTCCGCGTTCCAGAAGTCTTTGTGCACGAGTTTTGAACGATCAAATGACATAAACAGCATTATATCCTTGCGTATTACTCGTTTCTAACCCACTTTTTGTCGCATACGGCGCTCAAAAGAAAAGGCTGAGAACGGCTTCAAACAGTGTGCCAAGTCCTTCTGGGCGAACGCCGCACAGTCGCGTAATGATGAGGGAGTGCATATTTAAGAAAATGATGAGAATGAAGTTGATTGAAATCGATTTCAGTATAGGTTCACCTGGTACTGGAACGAAAAAAGGATAGAAGCAATGAAATTAAAATGAGACGTGAAAGTAAGCTGCCTTCACACTTGGGACACTTCGCTGGAATTAGAATAACGATGAAAAACAAGTCTTCTCTCGCACTCTTAACTCCTTTTTCAGGCCTCTATGGAACCAACTATCGCATAGATAACAAGTGATTTCAACTTGCAGCGTCCCACGAAGAGGTCGCGCACACGACGAAAATTTTACAGATAACACGGTGTTGTCCACAGCATCTATCCTTGGGACAATAAAGCAGAAAATGATACTGCTGTCATCAAAACTTTTTCAATCGTTAAACTGTTTGTGTTTCCGAGAATGGTAGATGTTATTCAGGAAAATTATAAGTACTGGACACTGGCAAAAAAAAAGAATTTAGGGCTAGCATTAGAGGTCGGTCGGATATACTGTCAGTGATCAGTTAAGTGTCAGCCAGAATGGTAACAAAAAAGTGACTCTACGATAAATCCTACCTGAATGGACGAACACGGCCTCATGAGCGATCCTGAAGTGAGTAGCGAGCGCCGTAGCAGTCTACTTAATGGCGGTATTGTGCAGGACATATCTGAAAGCCAAAAGATAAGAAGTTGGAAGAAAAGCTCTGTAAGAAAGGTGATATGATTGATTCATATAGGCAATTGGAAGAGTAAAAAAGACAGTAGTGGTCTCAGTTGAACGGAGAAAAGTGAAATAAGGGGCCTTTCCAAAGTGCTATGAACCTCTTCGATGAGATAATGGACACTACCAGACCTTGACATAAGGAAGGCAGAGACCCAAAATCAGCGACGAGGATGATTCAAATGCGACACCTGAGCTGAAACAGGTGACCGTCAAGTTGCTGAACATAGCCCGATGTGATCTTTATCACAGAGTTGTAGACTGGGAGAAGCTGGCCCAGTTGGTAAGCTAACGAAGAAAAGTGAAATCCGCATCAGCCAAAAGGCTACACAAAAGGGCGAATCACTGCTTTTGAGGAAAGGGAAATAGTTTTACATAGACGAAGATAGGAGAACCCGCAGGAGAAACATCCGTCTTTACAATTACATGAACACACTCTATTTGATGTAAACAGCAAACAGGTGCACATGCCCATTATACTGCCCACAACTTCGAACGTTATGGAGTCCGCAACGCATTGTGAGCAATTTGGTTCTCGAGCTACTATTTAAATGCTTCGCCCTCAACTGACTTGCTGCAATTCAACCATTTCTGAATATCAGACATCCGGTCGGAGAAGCCTCGCTTATCACACTCCACTCGACGTACTTTTTTTTCGGGTGATTTCATAGTTAGATTTTCCAGCACCTGTGCTCGCTACAAGGAACTATGCACCTCTCGCGAGAATATAGAGCAGAATCTATGGGAAATGACAAAACCAGGAAGTTTTAGACAAAAGAAGCACTGCCGGACCGTCAACATCGGAGGGCAAACAGTATCACTATTGTTTCCTGACGCTAATAGGTTACAAATTTGCTTGTTTAGGTCTCAATAACTGCAAAACCTCTATAATCCCCACCTCCACACCCTACTACCCAAACCGTAGACAAAAGGGAAAGAAAATTGCCGTAGTACCAGATCTATATTGTCGGATATTGCAATGCATGGAGCTTTCGATCGCACTCAGTCTTGTGAGGAAGACTAGCCTTATGTAGGGGGAGGGGGGTTAGATCCCGCGTAATCGACAGACATTCTACCCTTGGGTTTATTTTTGCATCCCTGACCTGGAACCCAAACGCCAACCATCACGCCCCCTAATGAACGTTGTTTCCTATCTGATTCCCCCCCCCCTCGACAGCACATCTGTGGATTGTGGATTTGGGGAAGCGATCACCTGAGGTGAAATGTTGCCTCAGACTCGAGTTTACGTTAGAGCCCTGTTTCACATTTCACCCAGATATAAAAGTTTTTTCGAATAGCTGACAACATTCTTAGATGGTTTACCACAATAGTGCGTCAAGCAAAACATAGTAAGATTTTCATTGTTAAATAAATCCGTAATGAAAATATGAAGAGCTAAAAAAGTAGTATAGACAAAAAATGATTAAAATGGAACAAAAGTTCTTTTTCGAATCCGATAACAACATGGTTCAATTAAAACACACAGCACACATCAACAATAAAAAAGCACCCGCTAAAACAGCTTCGCAACAGGGATTGGGACGAATGAGTAAAAGAACAATCAGGAGCCTTAGGCTATACTTCCCCTCGGGGAGATATATCTCTCAGCAAACCTCCGCTCTCTGCCATATCTCTATCGATGCCTTCTTCTCTCTGCATCTGCCTGCCTGCATCTTTGCTCCCCCACTCTCGCGAAATATCCCTCAACGACATGTGCTGGGGAGAGGGGAGAATTGATTATACTCTGCGCTGCACTATATTCGCACAGAGCGTGCGCCAGAAGAGACGAGGGACACCAGAAGGGATAATGGCGGAGAGTGGAGGTTTTCAATTGGATATCTCTCCTCGAGGGGAAGTATAGCATACGGCTCCAGACGGAGTCACCCTTGAATGCGAATTATAATTGAGAAGCTGGCGAAGAAAAAGATCACATTACGTACAACTGGCAGAGAGTGATAAGAGCAATAATTAGAACACAATGTTGAACACTTTCCTGGACAATTCAAATGTATTGTTGTGGGCAGCAAATGGGCAAAGCTTCAAGGAATGCTTTGTAATTGATGAGAATGAAAGTTAAGTACGTACATACAGAGAATCCAGTTCAACATACAGACCTCAACCTTCTTGACAATTTTGTCGGGCCAGATCAGATATAATAATGAATTTCTCGAAAAAAGTCGTTCCTAAGACAATATGAGGGTCCTTTTCCCAGTACTAATTTGCTTTACAGCGCTAGATACTGGCATACAATAATTCTTGAAAAGTATCTCTAAAAGGGTGGGCTCATATTTGGGAAGAACAGATTAACGACTATATACTTCGGATCATCTTTTGACAGAGACCAATCTAACTGCAAGCATTTAAAGAAAGTATCTTGGGAAAAGTGAAACGGTAATTTTAAGGCCTCCGGTTGGATAGATTTTAGAGCCGATAAGTCTGGAAAAAGAACGAAGCCGAAGAAATTTAAGCAATAAGCAACACTCGCATTTCGAACATCTCCACATAATATAATAACATAAAACCAATAACAAAAACAGAAATCAAGCAAATTATGCAATCATCAACCCTAAAGACTCCATATATACAACAACTGCAAAAGAGAAGATCAGCATGGGTTCAGTGGCGTGCTCTAGTCAAACCTAGAGGCTTTCATTGCGGCTGCAGCCAGTTCATCCAGCGGGGGTGACACATTCTCGCGATCGCGAAATTTGTGCAGTTCACTCTGAGCTCTAACTGAATGTCTTGCCGATGCCACTACATCAGGTTGATCGGTCCTGCAACGAAAACCTTAATTCTTCATGCTCCTCTTCAAGGCCTTATTGAAAATAGATTTTATTTAGAAAATTTATGGAGAACGGGAAATAATCTCATTCATGTACGATCCCCGAATGAGAGTTTCGATGAAGTCGCTCACGGAACTTCTCGAGCAGGTTGTAAAAGGCATCCATTCGACCAAAAAACAAGAATAGTAAAATGCGAGTCACCAGTTTGCGGTTGGGGGAGCCTGTGGGCTTAGAGCTCAATCTCCTCCTCACCTACTGGGCATCGTTTTTCCACAGCTATGAAAAGCGCTACAAACAGATTAGGGTCCCATGACAAACATTCGAAAACGAGTAAATCAAGCGCACTTCAGTAATTCACGACTACTCACTTCATTAGCGCCGGTTCACTGCCGCGTTCACCAGTAGACGAACGTACCTCGCCATAGAAGTGCTCCGCATGCCTGATTTCATGAACTAACCATGTAAAACGGGTTGGGCATATCACAAATATTCAGTTACCTCGGAACATCACTATTTCCTCTGGCATCCAATACTGAGCCTTCTTGATGACCTACGCGCCTTGTGTAGCAACTAAGACCCTCGGACCTAAATTGAACACCACTCAGTGACATTATTTCAGACGTTCATTGAAAATTCACGTGGTTAGAAGCTCTGGGAAAAAAAAGATAGAAGGATAAGGCAGTAGTCACATAACTCACATTGGGTACACCCTGGAGGTATCTTCTCTCCCACTATTCAGTTCCCTCCGAAAATGGTGCAGTTGATCTCGTAGCGATGTCATTACAGGAAGTCGGCCGGAATTCAGTGATCCGCTTCCATGTGCTGCGCCCGCCGATGCACTAACCAGCTGTACCGGAGCATTTGACGTCGACTGCACTGATGAGTGAGACACATGTGATGGGGTTGTTGAGGTGTGCGATGAGTGTGATGAGGGACGATCGTGTTCCGTAGCCGTCGTTGGCCTGAATACGTGACAATTGCTTGATTCCAATTTCGTAAACTCGGAAAACAAGCAAACAGAAGAGTGTACGCACTTCACACTTGTCAATGTAGCAGCCTTTTCCTTTGCAGCAAATTTCGCGGCCACCTCATTAGCGATAAGATGCGGTATGTCGGTCCGTAGAGCTGGTGACACATCTTCAGACATTCGCCGAAGATATGCCTCGAGATTTGAACGATTTGATGACCTGTTATGACATTTTACAAGTTAGGAAAACTTGAGCACCCATAACCAAAGCGAGACTACCTCGATGAAAGACTCGGCGGTTGGCTGGGTTCCTCTGGTGTTGCTGCCTGTTGAAGCGTTGAGGTGGTTGCATCACGTACTATATCTATAGAGGTGGAAATGTCGTAAGTAGATTCAGCGAGTGCTGAATCCGCTGAAACACCGCTACCATTTCGTAAACAGTCTTCGTCTTCGGATAGACCGTCCCTAAAAACGGTAAAGCTATAATAACCATCCTCTCTATATACAAAACTGCAATAGTACACAAACATTGGCTACTTTAAGGACTTAGGGTATAAAACAGATAATTTGGCTTTCGCTCTGAAATGGTAACAGGATTCTTGTAGTGAGAGAATGACGAAAAAGCGGAATGAAACAGCCAGAAATTGGCAGAAATCTTTGTTCTGCACGACACTGGACGAGTACGCCGCCGGCAGAAAGCATCCCTAAAGAAGTATCCTGTTGGCATCATGCTAACAACCGCTTTGATAGATACTGCTCGGTAGATACGGCTACACGGCTGATAGTATGTACATTTCCACACAGGAAGACTTCATATCAGTTGTACTTCATAACTGAAGCGATAACAGTGTCAGCATAGATACGGGTGGCAACCATTTGTGGGAGCACGGTTGCGGTGGGCGTCTGAGCAGGCATGCTGCACCACTGGGCGCTATAACTGTGTTCCTAGTTGGAAAAGGTGCTTTTGCCTTTACCTTAATAGCGTGTCTTTTAACAGAATGTCAAAGAGTGAAACACGTTTCGACTCAACAAAATTCAAAGGCGGCGATTATAGCCATGATTCGCTATAAAAAATCTGCATCTAATTAAAGACAGTTCCCGCGATAAAGTGTCATGGATAGCTGATGTTCAATTATGAAGCGTAGCTGATAAGTAATTCCTCAAAGTAGAAAAATCAAGAAATACCTCAAAAAAAAACATCATAAACAAAAATCTCTCCCTGACAGTTACACCGCCCTGCGGTCTCTTTGCAACCCCTGGCTCACAAATCGCTTCTGCGCATCTCTCAGTAGTAGATATCACCCACTGCAAAGAAAAGAATACGAAAAACAATTTAAACACCTTCGGAAAACTCTTAACAAAAAAAATTCAAAAACTAGGCGTTCGCTTTAGGGTCACGGTAGCGTGCATATTTTAGTGCGTCGAGCTTTTGCACCAAGAAAATTGCATCATTCGTGATTTTTACGCACCATGCAAGATGGGTTCCACTTAACTGTATGTCCTCCCTGTGAATAAAATGTGCTGAAGAACAGCAGTAACTTATGGGCACGAACGCGGTCAGCAAATGGACATGCAATTCCGATTAATGCCCGCCACAAACAAGAACAACTGAGCGGCCTTCCGTCAGAGGGCATCTAGCAAGTGGGTGGTCCGATTGGGCGTCGTTGGAACTAGAACTTTCGGCGGTCAGCACGCTCCTCGCCCGCTGCAGAGTCGCGAGAGTGGGACAGTCTCTTAGCTTGGGGGCTGGACTACTTGCACACGGAAGGACGACTAGAATTACTCCAGCGCGGGGCTGTCTTTAAGGGAACCATTCCATCGAAGATGGGTAACCATAAAAATCTCTGGAGGGCAACTTACGCTTCATCCATATAGCCCATATGATCGACTTCGTCCGCTATTGCTGCATACTTGTCGTAAACTGGACCGGGCAAATCTTGCGGAAACACTTCGTTCACGTGAATAATCAGATTTCGCACCAGTTCGTTCACAAAGTTATGATAAAAAACCTGAACCATTGTTACTCTCTGTCTCTGCTATGAATTGAAGATCCCAAAAAAAACAAGGACAGTATTACAAACTTGGTCCTTTCCCTCGGGGATTGGCAGCAGAGTGGGACCGAAACAAATTGCCATATTATGAGGCTCCATCATATTCTCGTCCGCAAACTCGCAGAGATGCGAAAGGAAAGAGAATAAAAAGCGAAGCAATAATACGTGAGAAACTGGCAACTTTTCAATCAGTTCCCTTGCCTGAAAGGACCACATAAACTAATCGGAAACAACGGCTCACGTAACATGAGGTTTAAAAAGAGATCAGATTTTTCAAACTAACTTTCCGCACAAAATCTTGAGCGGAATCCGCTTTAGCGCAATCAGTGAATTGATCGAATAGGAAGATCGGAAACAACGGCTCACGCAGTTCTCTCAGGTACAACTTCAGAACGCCAGCCACTGAGTTCGACTCACTGCCGTCTGACAACTCTGTGAAGGCGTCGTCTCCTGAATAACACTCAAGAATCAGAGTACAGACCTATAGGCTGTAAAAAAAAACACAGGAAAACTCGGTCAGACCTCGTTCATATGCCTCCTTGAACCGATTTATCTCCGACTGAGAGCCGCTCACACGGAACAGACCTTGGTTCCGTAATGAATACCGCGACAGGTAGGAAATAGCAGATACAACCACAAGTGGTATTGCCTCACCAGTCGCTTCCACATACTCATCCAGACTTCCTCCTAAGAAAACCTCTTTCTTATTAAACGTATGAATAATCGAATATCTCACAAACCGAAGAGTTTTGGTCGTGGTTTTGATTCATCGCCACCAGCGACACCAATCCTTTTCGGACGTCGCCTCGTTCTTTCCTCTGATGTTGCAACAGATGTACTCTTCATTGAGGCTCCAGCTTCTCGAGAAAGCGCTTCGCCAATTGCGCGGCTTCTGGCCTCTAGCCTCTCGATCAAATTGCCATTAAGCAAGAAGTATTCAAACTTCTGAAACATCTCATATGAAGAAGGATAGCGGTTAGTGCTTCAAACACTTCTGAGCTCAAAGGCACACCCGTCAGTGGATAAAGACATTCATTTACAAATAGTGGTGACCAGATGACTCTGCAACGAAGAAAAAAGCAAAAAAAATCATGAAGAACATAGTAAGGAACCCTGGCAGCTTTTCGGACGACTTCTCCAGACCTGCTGGTTTATGCAAGCAGAGCGATATGCTGCACCCCCACCCCTCCGCTCACTTATCGTTTCATCGCTTCATCCAATGCTAGCATTATCTAACAATGGAAAAAAACTGAATACGATGTAAAAACCGAATTCATGGCAAATAGCCTTGCAGTTTTGGTGAAGGAGGACAATTAGGAATGCGCTAAAATACCCACTGATGGGGGTCGCAGCGCCTTCGTTACTTCCTCAGAGGTGCGAGAGTGGGACGACCAAACTTCCACAACAAAGGACGATTGCGAGCTCGAATTGTCATGGTCTGTTGTGACACTATTTTCCAAAGGCAGAGGTAAGGCGAAATAAGAGTGCCCATCTGACATATCTTTAAAGTCAGCGCTATCCCGAGTTTATTTTCAAGCACTCTTCTTTCAAATCTGAGACAAAACATCTTCAAGCATATTGCGGTACAATTTACCTCACAATGTAAAGAAAAAGATCATAAATGTCGCTCACCTTGAGATAGTACTGATAGGTGACCAGAATATCTTGCCGCCATTTGCCAGGCTCTTCTTTCTCTTTGAAATCATTACTGTACATTGTGAGAAGTTGGCGATCAGATGCTTCCAAACTCTTCCACACCTTGAAAACAGGTAATAGCAGTATTGAGGCCAACACGAACATCATACACAAAAACCAAAAATTGAGCCTCAGCTATCCATTTGATGCGCTACAAACTGTGACGCACATAGGGAGCAAGAACCTAGTAAGCAATTTCTCGATTTCATGGAAATCAGATTGTTGTAGTGAAGCAAACCAGCAGCTACCCTACACCACTTTTTCCAACTTTTCATGATATGCAGAACAACACTGCGCTTGGTGCTGACGTTGGGATAGTTTTCGTGGTTATCCTGGCGTGCAGGCAAACAGGAGTCGTGCACCAGGTGAAGATTACACTCGCTGGAATAACACTCACTTCATCGCTCTCGAATCGTAAGCCTTCTAGCCGTTTCTCAATCTGCTTTTGGCGCTGTGCCAATTCAATTGCTATCCCGTTTTCAGCCGAAACCGCACATACACAGTCACCCAGTTGTGGCCTATGAAACAAAAATGTTGACACAACCATTCAAATAGCTTTTTTTAAGAATGCAATGGAGTTACCTGAACTCGAATTGTTTTGGAAGCATAAATGTGGCGTGGTGTGCTTCAAAAAACCGCTGTTTGTCCGCTTTTGCGTCTATTGCCGATCGAAGCGTACCCAATTCTGCCAGACTGTCCATTTCTCTTTGTGTGAGACGTTTACGCACCTCAACCACCTGCCCTACAAGAAAAAAAAATACTGCTTGTCGCGCAATTAGGAATGAATTTCATTGAGATGCCTATAAATCCGTGACTATAACACGTGTGAGCTGCAATACATTTTCTAGAAGGCTTTCCAATTTAAAAGTGGGCCCCATAGAACACTAAATGAGATCCTTTTCCGTAACTAAATTTCATCAGGTTGTAGAACCTATGTAAACTAACTTTCCGAATATGATCCATTGTACTGCTTGAGATTCAACGAACTGAATCATTTTCTCATTCCCATTTCGAAAATAACAATGATGCTCAACTGCACTACTTGAAAAAAAAACATGTCACGAGAGTTTTTTCATCTAACCAGGAAAGTTCAACAGGTCAGCCTGGCCATTTGCAATGAATTGCAAATCCTTGAACTCGCCTTGAGATGATGAACTCGGAACAATCTTTAAATTTGCAGAACGATCCTCTGAGCAGAGTTATGGAGGTTTTTCTTACTGTTTTTCTTCTTCCGAGCGCGCTGGCGTCGAGGCGTTGACACCTGTAGCGGGACTCACAGCGCTTTTCGCGCACAATAGGCGTCATATTTGTGTTCAGGGGTCAAATAATCCTTAAACGCGGCAGCTTGGCAGAATCTGTGGTTCCGACTCAACTTCGAAAAGAATGGGCTATGGATAGTTACGGCTGACTGATAGCCACCAGCGACACTACGACTAGCATACTGATGTTGTCTAATTTTCGAACTGAAATTACTCTTTAGTCATGTATTTCAGAACCTGGCCTACTGATTCCTGCAGTTTGCATCATTTTCCTGATTACCGGTAGGAAATCCATCTCGAGACCAGTCACTGATGGTGGATGAACCCAGCCTGCGGCCAATTACCCATAGCATAGCCCTTATTTTCCAAGTTAGGTCGCAATATCAGCTTGAGGTAGAAACTTGTCCCCAAGGGTAATTTAACCCGCTGAACATGTATATCATGGTATTTCACTGCAAAACCCTTGTGACATGTGTTACGAGAGGGGACAAGTACGAACACTCTTTCAGACCACACCACACTTCCAAAAACCACTACATTTTCAAAGAGTTGGCAGGTTATTTTACAGGATAGGGCAGGCGAGCACAGAAGTTAGATGCTCTGTCAACCGTGTTCTTGGACAAATGCAAAAAGGAAAGGGTTGCCTGGATCCGATCCGACGACGTCCCGACTATGAAACCCACTTGCTATCCGTTGCGCTCTGCTGCCACGTGTCGGAAAGACTCCATTCATTAATGTAAAGACGTTTCCTCGCTTAGTCGCGATAGCATGTAAAACAACCACGAGGGGAGAAATCCCTCCATAACTCCGTTCAGAGAATCGTTCTGCAAATTTTGAAGACAGTTCTGAGTTCACCATCTCAAGACGCGTACAACGGTACGCATTTCACTAGAAGGCCAGGCTGACCTGTTGACTTTGGTAAGTAGAACAAGAATGGCTGAATTACAAATTCGAAGCTTCTCATAGGATTTAGCTATCCTAAACTGGTCAGAAACAGAACAGAAATGAGCGATGAAACGAGAAGGAACTCAAATGAAAAAGAAACAGGACTAGCTATGAACAGCGACAAGGAAAACAGCAAGGAATAGCAAAGAATAGCACATAACACTGTATCCTTTTCCAGAAGCCTTAACCCAGCTGAGATAGAGTCCCATCCATCCCAGTTACGATGGAAAGCTCACACAGTTAGCATTAAAAGCAGAAGTGGACCATAATAAATACAGCTAGGGGATGGGTTCGAATAATGCTAGATGGCATAAAGAATTGAGCTAATTAAATTGCAAATCAAATGATAACAGATCATACGTAATTCCCAGCTTCTTCAAACTGACTGATAACTAGCAAAGAGAAAAAAGTTCTCGACAGCTCGAAAAAGGAAAAATTAAAACTCAATTCCAGAAATAATAACAACTAGCCTAGCAAAGCTCTCGTCCAGTAATCCATGCCCAGATCCATGCAGTCGATTAAATAACTAAGATCCTGCGCAAAAAACCTGGAAGCAGAATGTTCTCCAGCTACTGAAATACCTTCAGAGTGAAGTCTGTCAGACTGGAGTTTTTTGTTAAACAATGAAACAGTAAGTGGAAATGAATAGCACTCAGTCAACGCCACAATAGGCACAGAAACTGATCTATCAAGGTCTCTCTCAGATCATACTATGAAATTGTTACCTGTGTAATGCAGCATTTGCTGCGCGAACGCACATGAGATATTCATTACGTCCTTTTGTACATTTTGAATGAACAGCTCCATACTTATCCTCTCTCTGAATTAAATGTACTATCAGCAAGAGATAACAGAAGCATGAGTTCCACACTTTTTTTTAAATCTTCGCGCTCTATAAAGTAGATTAACGACTAATAATAGAATCTTCACCTTTTTCAAATACTTGCACAAATTGCGGTATTTGCGAGTTCCCTCAGCCTTTTCAGGATTCGCTTCTTCATATCGCCTTTTTTCCTCTTCAGCTATTCGCAGTTTCCGTTCAACACCAGTCATTTCCGCATAACACAACTATAAATAAACATGTAAGTGTTGCACTAGCAACTCTACGGCTGCGTTCATACTTCGCGTTACTGTTTTGAATGTTTCGAGCTACTAGGAAAGTATAGGTAACGATCTAGCGTTCTAACGCACGCCAGCGTTCTGGGCGTTTCGCGAAGTCCCTTGAGTGTTCGCGGGCGATCGCCGTAAACGCTGATGGACGCCCACAACACTAGATCGGTATCCATACTTTCCTAGTTCTCAAGACGCTGCCGTACGCTGGGGCACACAAATCGGTAATTATTCTTTTCGAGTCGCTGAATCGCTCAAAACGCTAACGCAAAGTATGAAAGCATTGCAAGGGCTCTATTAGCGCGGAAAGCAATGAAACTACATCTTTTGTATTCTGCATAGACTAACAAATTTTGAGCAATTTATTCCATAATATAGAGATGCTAATTAATAGCTACACAGCGAGATCGCTTAGAATTAATGATGTAGGAAACCCCACCTGATATGTTTTCATTGCTGTGTGTAGTTCAGTAAGCACACGGTTCAATTCGCTATGAGATAAGGCACCAATTTCACGACACTGAAAAGGAAACTCTTGAGAAATATCAATCCTGTGTAGAAAAAAAAGCTAGAAATCAAAAGTTTAGCTAAAATACGTTATGAAGAATGGAAAAAAAGCTCACGAATAGGAGGAAGTAACCAACCCGCTTACTAATTTTGCTCAAGTCCTCACATCTGGAACTAATGCTGCCACTGATATGTTTACTGTACAGTTCAGAAAGCATCTAAAACCATCTCAGTACTTTTGATAATCCGCTGAGTTTTCTGCATGTTTTTGCAATTGATATTACAGAGAGCTACGTTACAGATAGTCGAGTGGTGTCGAGGCATTGAGTGAGTCTACCCGTTGCGCTTTTACCACTGACAATAAGTGTTTTCTTCCCAAACTGTGAGAAATAACAATAGTGTTCTCCAACCGAACTCAGAGGCGAGCTCATCTCGACCCTTCTGGCGCTACCCCGACTGACTGCAACGACTCCAGCTTTATGTCTTCCTATAAATACCTGTCTCTGCTGGGCTTCGCTCTTAGTGTCGTCCACTAACTGTTGCCAGGCTGAGCACGATGCATGTTGTGTCCAACTGTCGCGCCTTAAACTACATTCATTATCCATACGAATGAGAAAAGTAGCAAAACCTTCAGAATTCGGGACCATACGCACACTGATAAGTAAGTCTCGCAGCCGCGTCTGCAACCCTTCGATCGCCTAGTCAACTGCCCGGATGACGACTGTAGTTCGCTGTAGACGGAGGGGGGCGCCAGGCGCAGGACACCGTATACGCACATAGATCACACATAGATCTTTCTCACGAGATGGAAACGGAAATGAAAATAGTTGTTCGTAACTCGAACACTGGACAAAGACAGACCAACAAGTAGAATGGGATGCGTTTAGATTAGGCAACTAAGCACGTCAACTCGCTATTCTTGCAGTCGCGCCTTTTTGGCCCATTCTGCAACATGCCGCAAAACTGCATGCTTCAGTGCAACAACAGAAAGCTTTTGGACGTTTGCGCCAAACTTCCGAATGCGCGCGAACGTCAAAAATGCTAGCCCATTTATTCCCTCTGGGCAGTCGTACCGACCAAGCCTCTCTCTGGGGTAGGGCTAAGGGAACGTGATGGCGTTTTCTGGCCACTATACATAGTATTATCACGTTTTCGGGGAACAGTTACTACGAAACTAAACCGTTATGACTAGCAGAACGAGCGACTGGACCAGACTTAAACTGCCTCTTTACGCACAAGTGCTTCTGTCTGGAACACAACTTTCTCCTAGCACGGACTACGTAGCAAATCGAATTCAAAATAATCCACGCACGATCACTTCCGTCACCTGTTTGGACAGTTTTAAAGGACACAGACTAGTTGTTCAAGGTAGATGCGCAAGGTTACCAAACAGGGTAACAGTTCTACCGATTAGTCAGTCAGTACGATACTGCTATGCCTATTGCCGATTTTACGCAGTGTCCAGCGCTGACAAATGCCAAAGACCATACCACATATTTTTCTCAGAAACAGGGACTCCTGAGCTAAACCTTGAAGAAAAAGAAACAGAGGCATGCGAGGAATGCGAGGAATGTAGATCGCCATCCAATCCCGTTACATTTCATCTTGTGTGTTTGGTCAAGTGCAATTTTTTGTGCTCACCCTGGCGTACAAACGTTTACTTACATCACTATAGCCACACGCTAAAAAGAAATACGGGCAAACCAAAGGACAAACCTGTTTTTCTCTGCCTTGTGACGTTGCATGATACCTCTGGCTATTTTCTCCAACTGACGCGAGTACTCCGCCTCAGCTTCTCCACGTTTACGAAAAAAATCATCGAGTTCCTTGAAAAAGAAGTTCAGGACACACTTCAGCAGTTGTATGATTTCTCCTTCTTACGATGGCATTCGTTGGGTTTTCTTTTTATAAAAGCCGAAAGACAGTGACGATAACCGCTAATGCCATTGTAAGGATGCCTGGAGCGATCACCCTCAACAGATTGGTCATAACGACAGCGCTGCTCAGGAAAATGTGGGCTGCTTTCCAAGTCACGGCATTTAGTCACGGGCCCAAGTATTATAGTTCAAGGCGCAGTTTGCCGACGGGGAGTGGTGGGGGGCCTTTTGCCCTTTCGTTGCTGCACTAGTTCCGGTTTACAAGTCTTACTCTGGTGAAACCTGTGAACTCTTGTGAAGCTGGAGCAAGCTCGTTAAGCCATTATGGTAAAACCTATCAACTCGAGAACAGGCCGTCTAGACGGGTCGACGCGTTGATGGGAAGTCGTTAGTGGGCAAAATGCCCCCTACCCCGTATTTCAGAAACCCTGACCCACACTGACCCTTTCGTTAGTCATCTGATCAGGTAGGGTTACGAGCCGCAGAAAAACAGCTCTCCGAAGGATAGCAGTCGTAATGAATTCCATTGTTTGCTGGATCCTTCTTACTTTACTGTAAACGTGATGAGGAAGGCTTCGCCACTATCATGCCATTAATGTTTGCCCATTCGCAGGAAAGTTCGTTCGAAGTTTCAGCTGTGAAGGCTTTTTGCATACTTCCGCTAAGCATTCATTCACTCGTAATGAAAATCAGGTGCACTTCGCATATATTTACTTCGAATGAAGAGTTGTCTTGTAGCTGATTCTTGGAATAGCAACGAAACATGGCTTCCGGCATTCAGTAGAAACGGCTAGATCAGAGCAGCGGGGAGGGCTTTATCCTTCTACATAAAAAGGAAAACAAAAAGTTGACACAAAGAACTGGCCAAACAATGCTGGACGCTATGAAATATTGACAGCCGTTGGTGAGTAATGAAGCAGTGTACTTCTGAAGCGGTTTCCCAGAGCTTCTGCAGAGTTTGGTTTCACGACCGCTCGCATGACGGATCGGACGCTTCTCAGCCTGACGAGAACTAGCTTCACAACGGCGAGTATACTGGTTTAAACCTAAGTTGGAGTGTTTACTTTCTTCAGTCGACCATTCTATTCTTTTTGAAGTTTTGCATCTATCTAGCTATCGAGGCACTATCCCTGTCTTTTGTGATATGGGGTTATTTGGTGCGAAAAACAATGTATGGTTCAGGACTCCGGTAAAGGTCACCCATCCCAGCTTAGTCGCGCACGATGATCACCGCAGTGCAGACCTTCTGCCATTTATGTCCTTGATGTCGGCAGGAATCGGCGCATAGAGTAAAATGCCACCTAATCGGACGTGCCTGTAAATTCTGACCAGTAACCTGTAACTTGTGCTACATAAAGGCGCGCTTTTCAACAAACCTCAACTCAAAACGGAAAAAGGTAAGAGAGTCACGAAAGAGTTACCTGAAGAACAGCAATCTGCGTCTCAGTTCGCTCGCCTATACACCGAATTTGCTCATTTAGTTGAGAACGAATTTCTGTAAAATAAACAGATTTAACGATATGGAAGGCCAAAGTATGCAAAAACTTTTTTAGGAGGAAGTGGTTCTGTCCTTCACATGTATGTATAATACATATAGACAACACTTCAAATGACTCACTCTAACGGTGAGCCTCCTCACATTGACAGAGATGGTTATAATCCTGTTATATATCCAAAAATAACCCACCGATCTACTGTGTGCTCATCAAATGAATATGATCACAACCTACTACAGCGGATCGTGATCTCAAAATGAGTATATAAACCAGTTGCTTCGGTGTGTCTCACTTTTCGGTTGCATCTTCAATAAACCTTCTACTGCCTTCGACTGTCCGCCAACCCAACAGTGGCGATCACGAGTCCAACGACAATGGCGGCAATGACGGAGAAGCAGTTTCAACAACTCCTCATGACATTCACCGACGTGGTCAAGGAAAGCACAACAACAACAAACCGCAACCGCAGCAACGGCAGAACCCACGAAGACCTTCGACGTGCTGGCAAGCCGAATGGACGCAGTTCTCCTACGACCCAGAAGGCGACCGTCACGTTTGAAGCATGGTATCTTCGACATATTCAAAGAAGACGCCAGGACGTTTAGTGAGTCCACTCGTGTTAGACTTCTTCTACATAAACTTGACGCTACTGCTTATGAAAAGTACGCAAGCTACATTTTGCCAAGACCCCCGGACATCACGTTTGTCGAGGCCGTATCGACACTTAAAATCTGTTGGCCCAAGGAATCATTATTTATCGTCGATACGAACTGCATGAAGCTAGCTAAGGATCCAATGCGAAGACTTCATCACCTATGCTGGGCGTGTCAACCGGGACTGTGCAAGTTCAGGCCAACCGAGTGTGACGACAACCAATTCAAGTGTTTAATCTTTGTAAGTGGATACAATCGAGCGAGGACGTTTTCATTCGACTCAAGTTGCTGGACAAAATCGAGGCCAGACGCCGAAATGCACAGTTCAGTCGCTTACAGAGGAATGCAAGCGCTCCACCAATCTCAAGCAGGATAACAAAATGGTCGAGGATGAGGTCATAAAAGTGCATGGGCGTCAGACACTGAACCCACCAGGCGGCAAGAGCAGCAGTACAATCGGCTAAACCCCCCCAGGCGGTCCCGCAAAATGGAGAACCGCTCCACACTCTCCTCAAAACCACCTCCATCAGACTGCTGGTTATGCGGAGCGATGCACTTTGTCAGAAACTGTTCATACCGGCGACATAAAATGCTCCGAAAGGCGCAGAAATCGGCCACAAGGAAGGTTTCTGCAATGCCGGAAAACGATCAAGGCCAGTGCGATCCAGCCGATATTCAGGACAGCCAACAAGATGCGCATCTAATGCGTGCTCACCGTATCAAACAGTGATAACAACTATCGACGTTATGCAAGGTTAACGGTGGATGGTAAACTGATCCATTTTCAAGTGGACAGTGCGGCAGACATTACCATCATCAGTGAGTCGACGTGGAAACTTATGGGTAGTCCCCCACTACAGTCTCCATCGCTAATAGCTCATAGTGCATCAGGAGATCGAATACAGTTTCTTGGTCAACGTAACTGTACACACAACTTCCACACAACGTCGGCCCAGGAAATCTATTTTGTCGGCCGAACTATGCCCAACTTGCTGGGCGCGGAGTGGATCTCAAATATGGGATTATACACCACCATGGACAAGCTTCCTCGTGTTCATCCCGAAACTGCCACCGAAATCAACGTCAATAGCACCACGTCGAGCAACGAGCAAATGGCCCAGGAACTACAAGTGACCTTTCCCAAAGTTTTCAATAGCCACCTCGGACTGTACCGACTTTCAAAGGCTACTCTACGTCTGAAGAAGGATGCAAAACCAATCTTTCGTCCGAGACGTCCAGTACCGTATGCCGCACTACCAGCAGTGGACAACGAAATCGACCGACTCGAAGCAAATGGAGTAATTTCGAAGATTAACTACTCAGAATGGGCTGCACCGATAGTCATTGTCAAGAAAGCCAATGGCTCACTGCGGATCTGTGCTGACTTCTCCACGGGCCTAAACGACGCCCTGGACCTTCTCCAATATCCACTACCACTACCTGAGGAAATCTTCGCGACACTCGCCGGAGGACAACACTTTTCCCACATTGATTTTGCCGATGCTTATCTCCAAATCGAGATGGATGAGGACTCAAAACGACTGCTGACGATAAATACTCATCGAGGGCTCTACCAATACAACAGGCCACCTTTTGGTGTCAAATCGGCTCCAGCGATTTTCCAGCAGATCATGGATGCGACACTGGCCGGTTATACATACGATAATATTATAGCAAAGATAACTAGTAATAATGAAATACTCAAACCTATTCAGTACTATAGAATGCTCAAAAGTCTGCGTAAGGAAGAAATTAAGAAACTAATTGAACTCTCCATGTCTGCAGACTTCTTACAGAGAGTTAATAAGAAGAATAGGTACTTAATTTTTTGCCTGCTAGCTCACTTTCATTTTGACACTACCACAAAAGAAAACATCAGAAACAGCTATCATAATGTGGAGGTCAGTTTCAAAAGCAGAGTATTTAATGAAATACCCTTCAACAGAATCTTCAATTCACGTACTGTTAGAAATATACTACTCAGCGATAGTGGAACGAGCAGTAAATTCACCCCAATCAGAATTATTTATAAGTACAACAATACAATGGCTAGTAAAATTTGCAATTATAACAAAATTTGAAAGATCTCGACAATGAAAAATTGAAGCAAATTCTTAACAACGATTGTATATGTACTACAAATACAGTACAAGAATATGTGGATAAAAATTATGAACACGTTATTACAGGCAATGTAAATCTTATAAAAGAAGAGTCTCAGAAGACTGCTGAGTAAAGGGACTAGATATAGATCAGACACAGGCATAACAAGACAAGAAGTTAAAATGGTGTTCGAAGATACACTCATCAAGGTTATAAATTATTTTAAATGTAAATACAAAGCTAGCAGTCACAAGGTTGATCTATTACATAAACATTTTCTTACATGTTACCATGACAAAGTAAAACCTCTACTGACAAAGGATAATATTGTAAATATAGGAGAACACATACCTTACAACTTAATCAAACAATATCAAGAAAAATACGTGTTCTGTCCTCTTGACAAAGCAAATAATAACTATGGCATCATCCGCAAGAAGTTCTACCTTTTAAACATAATGCATGAAATGGGCATCGCTTATGATGCTGCCAACCACACATTTGTCTATGGAAACAGTAATAACACATATGAATTAATGCCTCATATTAACAAGTATTCTTTAANATTGAAGCACAAAATTCCCTTTAGTGAAAAAAAAATTTNTAATCAATATATCCGATTGATGCAGAAATACCTACTATATATGCCTACCAAAGACTACATAAGAATCCAGTTAAATTCAGATACATCACAGGTGGCATATATGTAGTATAAGCCATTGCGCCAGGAATTACGCATAGTCTTCAACACATGCTCAAAAATCACTTTATTAAGTACACCAAGGTAATACAGAATCGCAACAGGACTATCAAGACATACTGGTCTATAAGTAACATTAATATAAGTCACGAACTACATAACATCACGTTCGACAATCAATTTACAGGCTGCGGATTTCACGGACACTGTTCACAAATTTAGAAACATGATCTTATTATAAAAAAAATGCAAGAACTTCTTAACATTTGCTTCAAAAATGCCAAACAGATCCTTATTGCCACTAATGGTCACCAATGTTTTCTATACAGATGGTAAGAATTCAAGAACAATCTACATATATTATCAAATCCAGCGACTTAGTTTTACTTTATTGACTATCTTTTACGTAATAGTTTTTGTCTTTTGTGCTAACAATACGTTCAAGCAGACTAAAGGTGTCCCACAAGGTGGCAATTTTCAGTCCGCTACTGGCAGATCTTACGCTTTCTGTCATGGAGTATAACTATGCTAAAATCTAAAAAAGTTTAATAAAAGTACACTATTCATTCCATATAGATATATGGATGATTTGCTTGTGTTGCATAACCAAACTGATGATGAGGTGGATGAACAACTTTGTCAAGTTTATCAAAATCCCTTCATTGAAAAAAACTCATAATAGTGAAGTTTCTAGCAATTATTTAGATTTAAAAATTAATATTACTAACGGTAAAATTAGTACCAAGCTGTATAATAAAACGGATGATTTAGCTTCAATGTAAATCAGATTTCGCGTATAGTGACACGAAACATTTCCATTATTCAACAAACCCTCTGTTATATATACGGAAACTTTGAGGTTAGCGAACACTTGTTCGTTCTTCAACGTTTTCGTCGGCAAAAATATACGGATATGGTCACAACCCTTTTGAAAAATGGCTACGAAGAAGATTTTCAATATTACTACATTGTAATATGTATCTACAAAAATAAATTTATAAGTTACAAATTCTCAAACTATCCTACTATATAATAAACGGCAACGTCTGTCTGTCTGTTTGTCTGTTTGTCTGTCTGTCTGTCCGGAAATTCGGAATCACCTGAAGAGCCAGCTAGAAGGGACGGATCAAGGGTGGGTTGGGTAGGGCATGGGCCAAGATGTACGGACACACATGAACTGAGCCTAAGCCCCGCCCACTGTGGGCGGGCGTGCGCACAGTTGTGAGCTACATATTTCAAAAATCGTAGTCCGGTCTAGAAGATCCGGGAGAGCGGAAATTGTGGGTAATGGTAAGCAGTCAGTTTGGCGGATGAAATGAGGGAGTCCCACCCGTGATGGAAGGGGCGTGCTATAGGTGGGGCGTGCTCGCTAGCAGAACTTTCAAAAATTCGTAGTTCGGTTCTAGAAGATCCCGGAGAGCGGAAATTATTGGGGAAACGATAAGCAGTTCAGTTGGCGGATGAAATGAGGAGTCACACCCGTGATGGAAGGGGCGTGCGCCCAAGTGAACGGTGCCGGGGATAAAACCCTCAAAATACATCCGAAAAAACTCAGGAAATGGGAGTAACTGAAATAAGCA